CTGATATGTTTGCTTATCTTAATGAATTGCTCGGAAATTTAATTCATGTTTATTGTCAGCTTTAGCACTTTGATAAATATCGAACCTATAATAACAATCCAAAGGTATTAGGATATATTTAATCAATTATAAAAGGTTTTATAATTGAATAATTATTTAACCTATAATAACAATCCAAAGGTATTAGAATATATTTAATTAGTTATAAAAGGTTTTATAATTGAATAATTATTTAACCTATAATAACAATCCAAAGGTATTAGAATATATTTAATTAGTTATAAAAGGTTTTATAATTGAATAATTATTTAACCACATGAACAACAGAGCTGAAGTTATAGCAAATTTAGAAAGCTTTTTTTATTCGAAGAATATGATTACTGAATCAGGGGTCGCTTGTAATATCCCATCTACGAATATGCTTTCCTTTGCAACTGTGGGAGCGTTATACTGTTGCGGCTAATCCTACTGTTTGTTGGTAAGAGAAATCCAGTAGTTCACGGTGGGAGGTGTTGACTAGCTGCCTTCTCTCTAATCTATCACATCAAAATCGGGAAGGACTAACGCAGACAGGCTCGAGTAGCTTTGCGCGAAATTCAAAACAAAGACTTACAGTATGTTGGTAATTACAACCCATGGAACATAAGTATCTTCAATTTCAAAGTTGAGATCTTACTGAATCATATTGCCTGGAATATATAGAAATACTTGGAAAAAGGAAGTACTTACTATAGAATTCCTTGCATTGACGCAGTCTCTGCATTTATGGAACATACATCTGATCGGTCAGGTTTCATTGTGGACGATGTTGTTCTACTTCTTAGTCAAGTTACCAAAAGGCTTTATACAGTAAATTAGACTCTGGGAAGTTTTGTAAGTTCTAGTTAAGTTCATAAAATTCTAACTAAGCAGACACAAATTTGTTGATCATTGGCAGAAACATGAAAAGTTTTCTCATCTTTGAAAGGTGCAGGCAAGCAATGGCATTAACGTCAATATTTGTGATCCAAGTACAATGTGAGGGGATCCAAATGAGCTGAGTAACCAACTGTAGAATTGAAATAGGTCTTTTCAACCTCGGTATACATTCATAAAGTCTGTTCCTAACTATATGGTCACTGATAGTCTCTACAATTGCTATCTGATAGTATAACCAAAACCACCTTACTAAAGACCTTAATACACTAAGATGAGCTATCACTTATCTCCTTGACAGTCTATGCTTCCTTAAAAAAAACACTAACAAAAGAAGGTAGCACTGTTAGAACTAAAAAGAAACACTTATAACCAAAACTGAGGTGATCGTAAAACAAATAAATCGACAAATGATTGAATCTAGATACAAAATGTAGTACTACCCTTTTAACCAGTGGATAGTAAGTGCTAACAACAGTACATGCAAAATGTGCCCATAACTAGTGACATTGATTTTTGGAATACAGATTCTATGAAATATTTGCTCTCGAAAGTTTTTGTTGCGGTGAAAACTGTTTAGGTGTTCACATAGATGTCACATTAATCCAAACTTAGTAAATCTTGCTTTATTGTCTCCTCTTTTTTTTTCTCCAGAAATTAACAAGTTCTTGATACAACTTGTAAAGTTTTGATAAACATGACAAAAACTATGAATTACTTCATAGTTTAAAACGTTTTATACAATATAGCTTCTGTTAAATAAAAAAAAAATGTTGATAGACTTCTCAGAGATGTTCAATTTTATCGCAGACTAATTGTTACAGAGCGGAATAACAAATTATTGTTTAAACTTTCCTATACTTTTTGTATTTTGTGAAGAGTCTTTACGTATTCCCAATGTTTCAGCCAAAAAGTTTGTAATTTATGCATTTTAAGTTTCAAAAATAAAAACACTTGCCTGTCAATGAACTTAACGACAACCACCGCGGACAGTCACTTGTGTCTAGAAGTAGTGGAGTCTGCTCTGTATGAAGAAAATGTGACAATCATTCTTATAAATAGGGACATATATCCGAATGCCGTGTCTTGTAGAAAAACAATGCAAAAATATATTAGATAGTTTCAAGTTATTCCGGAAACGTTATTTCATATAAAAGGTGCATGTCCAATATTCTGAAAAAATCTTGAGCAAAATTAAAAAAATATACAAACGATCCCTGCAAAAGCTTTTCGCTTAAACAAACTAAACTGTACCCATCTTTTATTACTTGCTTTAATAGGACTTTTACATCCATTTCTTAACATAAAAATGTTTCCATTCTTTTTCATATGCATAGCTATAATATTTCCTTAACGCTATTTTAACATTCAATTTTAATAAATTACCCTCTTCGTTGTCCCATCTATTTTGTGTTGTAATTTTATGAACGTGTTTACTTTGCTTTTATAGGATTATCTTTTATTTTAATAAAAGTACATGTTTAATTTGGTTGCTTTTATAGGATTATCTTTTATTTTAATAAAAGTATATGTTTAATTTGGTTGCTTTTGTAGGATTATCTTTTATTTTAATAAAAGTATATGTTTAATTTGGTTGCTTTTATAGGATTATCTTTTATTTTAATAAAAGTATATGTTTAATTTGGTTGCTTTTATAGGATTATCTTTTATTTTAATAAAAGTATATGTTTAATTTGGTTGCTTAATTTAACTTAACCTTATTTTAGTTTAGACAAAGATTATTAACGTGTTCCTCCATATACATGATATACCATTCAAGTTGTATTTTTCTTTACTTTTACATTTTATCCATTCTTTAATCTAATCTCTGATACTCAACTAACTGTTTTTATCTGATTGAAATTACTATACAAATGAAAATGATCAGATGGATGTAGAAATAAATGATATTTTCTTCACATAATATTTCTTTTAAGCAAATTATCTAGTCGACCATGCCTTGCCTATTATTTTTCAATAATGCAAAATTAATTATATCATTCCCTCTTCTCAGACTTCTACTTACACGTATTAGTTAAAACTAATACTTACATTTTGACTCTTAACGTCACTTATTTTTCTAATCTTATTTTTTCTAATTAATTCTTGATTCTTTTAGAGCTTCCACAACAGTGTACAATATCTCTAGCATGCATCAAACATAATTCAGTACGCTTTAGTGCAAGCACTAAATCCTTCTAATAACATAAAATTACATCCTTCTTACTTCTTCAAAAAATTCAATATTTCATCAAGGGCCATTTTTAAAACCCCTTTACTTTTCTTGTTAACTGTAAATATATAATATATTTAGATTCCCAAGAAGATTTTATCATTAACACAAATCCATCAACCTGTATCTAGGTTATGTTATTGGATTGACTACCATACCGTGCAAATAAATTTACGTGTAATTTGTATTATTATAAAAGAGATAAACTTCCAGTATACATTCTTCTCTCAGCTTATGTATTAGCCTCAAGCTCGCAATTCTTATATCCATCAACGACAATCGGATCTTAAGTTCTTTAATTTGTATTAGGTTTATTTAACGAAAACGTTGGATGCGCTGCATAATCTCATAATTTTGTATTTTATTTCTAACTCCATTTATGTGCCAAACTGCATAATTAAAAGTACCAGTTTTTACCAGTCACTTGTATGCACTCTTCACTCCGATCTCTTGTATATTATTACCATCTAGATATTTGTTTTACATAGTTGTTTTTATTTCACTCTACTTTCTTCCGAGTGTCCGCACGTACTTCATTTTTTATTTCTTTGCAGCTATAAACCACATTTTCAGTTATTAATTTATCATAAATTAATACGGCCTTTGTTAATTTTCAGCTTTGGATTATGTCAATAAAACTTACGTTTTAAGCTTTCTGGAACTTTAAAGAGTAATATTTCATAATAAAGTCAGCTAACTTCTAAATTTTAATACACTTTTCAAATTTGCTCCCTATCCTTATTAGATTATTTCTTTTAGTCTGGAGTTTATCAACCTTACATATTCTTTGAAGATATTTTTATATAATATCTGATTTATTTTTACAACCAACTATTTAACTTTACTTTCCAGCATCTTCCAAGTTTGAATTTTTTTATGGTGAGCTTTAAAATTACAACACTAAAATTTAGGGTCTAATCCGTGAATTTTCAAGGCATCTATCATCTAAAGTTGAGGATATCACGTTTGACCACACTCTTTTACAATGTTCACCGTATTCCGCATTAATTTTGTTCCCAAGATACTTTCTTTAGTTTCCAGAATATAATTTTTTAGTTTTTTTCGGTCAATAACAATATGATTTAGCTTTCTCTAAACTATCATCTGTCTTTCAGATATATATTAATTATCCAGTGTTTTCTTTATTTTAACATCCCTTTTACCGATATCCCTTTACATATGTTTAATCTAACATCTTCTGAGTTTCTAATCAAACTCCTGTCTTCTCTATTGATTGTATGTTTTAATAGTGTATTTACTAACTCTTTATAATTTTTTATATTGTGTTCTTTCGACGTCTCATATCACATGTAATGATAATAACCTCAAAACTGGGATCACCTTTACCCGTACTGCATATATTTTTATCTGTATTTTGTCGACATTTAAAATATTTACAATGATAGCTTATATTTAAATATACAACTCTCATTGATCACACTTACATTTGAACACTCATTTCTTTATATCCTTATAAATATCAAACTTTCTTGTTTGTTTGTTTGTAATGAAGCATAAAGCTACATAATGGGCTATCTGCGCTCTGCCCACGGGTATCGAAACCCGGTTTCTAGCGTTGTAAGTCCGCAGACATACCGCTTTGCCACTGGGGGGGGGGGTGTCTTGTTTCTAGCTAATATTTTTAGGTGACTATACAATTTCCTGAATGCTGAGATTAGCAACACACGTTTTCTTGCTATATGAGTACCGCTCAGAAGTCTTCAACCTTGGACTATTCTATCAGACTGTAGTTTATTGTGTTGAAAATGTTGGTTGATTTCTTTACATTGTTAACCTAAGAAGACTTCCAAAACGATATTAATAGATTCTTATTTCTTTTGTTTTATTATAGCCTCTATCCTGTACACTGCTGTAGTTGGGGGGAAAGTAGCCCTACCATGTGACATATCCTCCCCAGCTGCTGACGATTCTGCTGCTCTAATTCTTTGGTATAGGGGAGAATCAGCTCAACCAATCTACACACTCGACGCTCGAAGAGGTAAAATCAAGCAAGCTCGACAATCTGTTAGCTCTCAGCTAGAAAACAGGGCCTACTTCAACATGATTAACAGACCTGCCTTTCTGCAGCTAGACCCCGTGAGGCTAGACGATGCTGGAGAATACAGATGTCGTGTAGATTTTCACAAAGCTCGAACTATAAACACGATTATCACCTTAAAAGTCATTGGTAAGAATGCTTTAAGCAAAGTTTCAGATTTGTCTTTTTCGCAAAAGGACTTCAAGCCAGTGTCTGCTTATCTGTTATTTTGTTATCATTATTCTTGTAAAACAATACTAATAATTTAACGTTTTCCAAACATTTATTTACGAAAGAAAATATTTCAATGAAAAACAAGTATTTTATGGAATATAGAAGGTCGAGTACGTTATAATAAAGCGATTTTTAATACGCATATCAGCTATTCATGTTACAACCACAGTCAATATCAAGTCTCGGTGGAATGGAATGTACCAAAACTACATTTTTATATTGGTTTTCGTAGGTAGTGTGATGCCACCTCAAATTGATAACTTTTAGGAAGAGAATATAACAACACTTTTCAACGTAAAATATTCCTACACTAAGATCAGGGATTTAGAACTTACAAGACTAGAATATCCCTTGTTCTTAATGGTATTGAAAAACAAAATAATATGGCTCAATGTGGCGCACCAGGACCATCCAGAAAGGGATCTGCAACAATTCTTCCCCCAACTGTGGTAAATAAAAGATAGCGCCTAAGGATTTTTGCTCGATCTGACTATTGAAACGGTAAAAATATAGTCCTGGTACACCAGATCAATTACGGAAAGCAAGCAGGGAAGAGTAGTATGCTTTGTACATGACAGTCTTACGATGGAAACTTTTGCAACGGCATATACATTGCAAGGCTACTGTCGAGATCACAATCATGACCTGTAACTGCATGATGAGATTCCAAAATAATTTTAGTATAACGTACTCGACCTCTATTTATCGTAATATGGTTATCTCATAGTAAGTTTTAACAAATATATTTCCTTGAATGAATATAGATTTTTTTTTCAAAATTTGTATGCTCTGAATTTTGTATACTTTCTTAAAAACATCTTATTCATTGTTACATTATTCAATAGTATTTTTAAATGTTCTAAAACAACATTATGAATATTGTTTCTTCTTTTTAAAGTTATAACTAAACATTAGTTTAATAAAAAAAAGCATGAAACTGTAATATTATAAGATCATTTTAATTTGCATTGTTTGGAGGCACTTTTAGCTAAAAGTCGTGATTGAAAATCAAGATATGCAGAGAAAGTTCATACATAAAATCCCATACAATTAATTTAATATATCCTAAATCATCATTTAAATACCTCATCTATTTTATTGCAAAAAGTGGTAATGGGGCGGGTTCCAATTAATTAGAAGAAAAGGAAAGCGTTGTAATAAATAAAGTCTGCCTTTTTTTTCCCACTGAATCTCAATCATGGAGAATGCTGCCAGGAACTTATATATAAGGATTTTTCGTTTTTCGAAAACTATGAAATTTTTAGTGGTAGTTCAGTGTATTCCTTTTCAAATTGCTTCAGGCTTAAACGATTCGCTGTTCGCCGAACCGGATATATGAAGGAGTTTCATTTTATTCAACATATATATTCTGAAAGGTAAATCAGCACAAAAAATTATTGTATCTTTAAAGTGTTAGATGATCAGATATTTTTCTATTATTGAAAATGTGAATGAATGTCATCGTTTTTTATCTGTTTTGAAAAGCCTCTTGGAATGCGATGTTTCTGATATTGCATGCCGGCGCATGACAGATTTCGCAGTTTACACTTCACCAAAAACACTACATATTTTGATGACCTATTCTTTTTATATTCCAAAAACATGGAAAGAGAGTAAATGCTTGTCATCGCTGGTATATTCAGGCAGTAAATATATCATATTCCTTTTACTGCTAAAGGGCATGATCATTAAATTGAATAGTTATTTTTAAGGGTATAGAGGTGCAAAATAAGGATAAAATGTGTTAGTCGATAAAAAAATTGCTAATTTGTTTTTTTTCTTTAGTTCCACCTGGAGATCCTTTAGTGCTCAACGAAAAAGGAAAAGAGCTCAAAGGGATGGTAGGCCCTTTTAATGAAGGTGAAACCATCAAACTCTTATGTAAATCCACCGGAGGTAAATAAATTGTTCATTTTTAACTATATTTTCTAATTACATATTTTTGATTTATTCTCGTGTTATAAATAACAGAACAGATATTTTAGTTTTTGTTTTTTAACACAGAAAGAGAGGAAAGAGTAATACAGCTACACATCATAGTATAGATTAATTTTAAATAACCTAAAAAAAAAGACGCAGCACGCTCAGGGCAAACAAAGAGTAGGGCTCCTGCTAAAGTGTAGAGACAGTACAACGATCTCTGGATTCTAATTTCATGCACCCCAATGGCACAGCCTTATATATATATATATATACGGACTTACAACGCTAGAAACCGGGTTTCGATACCCATGAGGGGTAGAGCACAGATAGCCCAATGTGTAGCTTTGTGCTTTCTTTAAACAAACAAATATAATTTCATAAAACTAACTGCGTATTTGTAAAGCTCTACCGAAAAAAAGAAATATTAAAAGACAAATTCCCCTTTAAAAATAACTCTTAAAATTATTCTTACTATTTTCGTAATAAAATAGTTCCATTTTTAGCCGCCATTTAACAAGTGAATATACTGAATTAATAAAGCCCCCCGGTAGCAGAGCGGTATGTCTGCGGACTTATGATACTAGAAACGGGGTTTCGATACCCGTGTTGGGCAGAGCACAGATAGCCGTGTGTGTATCTTTGTGCTTAATTAGTATCAGATAATAAAAATGATTATTACTACTTAATTTCAACATATTCTTCTTTTAATTATTATTTCGCTTTCATTTACTAAAGCTTGGGTGAAAATAACAAAAAAGCAATGACTGAGGAACAACAAATATCGAACATATGTACTTTAGATATTTGGTTCAGTATAACCATTATCACTTAGGAGTGTTTTAAAATTTTGGAAGTAGTTTAAACGATACAATTCTAATAGAGATTAAATTTTATGTCTTCTAACATTCTCGGTTATTCTGCCTTGTTAGAAAAGTTTAGATATTTTAAGTCAAAATACAAAACAGGGATACTCTTCACCATGTCTAGTATATCGATTTATGTACACAAACATATTTTATAGGTAAGAGTCAGAAAAGTGTAGTCAATGTGTTACTTGTCAAATTAACGGAGACATTGGTAGAAATCTGTAGAAATTTGAGTCTGATCATTGGCTTATTGTCTTTCACATAGGTTTTTAAGGAAGAAGGTGATTTGTATTAATTTTAATTTATTTTTTATGATTGTACTTTGACTTATATTTAGTCTGCTGTATAACTTGATATTATCATATTTCTACATCTATTTATTTACGATCTTAACAATATTTGGTGTAGAATTATTCTGTTGCCATATATATTATAAAAACTACTCTAATACTGTAAATTGCATCGTAAGAATCTAGGCGAAAGTTCAACACTTATAACAGTGATGACAAAACATCGACACCAGAACAAAGATATCAAGAATGAAACTCGAAAACTAAAACTGTCGCTTACAACTAGCTTCAAAATAATAATATTTATAAAAAAAATTCAAATAAAATAGATTCGCTATTGTGCCATTTAATGCATACATAAAACAAAAAAAATAATAATAAAAAGTATATAATTTGTCAATAAAATACAAAAGATATGTTTCTTAAAAGAAAATATATGCAACAATAGCTCTTAAAAGCGATGGGGATATCCCTTCTGTCAGATATAATCTGAAAAACACAGATGAACAGCAAAACTTCTTGCAAGGAAAATCAAATAATGGTTATGTACTGGGTGCTTTAACCCACAACGTCCCAAAACTTACTACCAGCCGGTTGTGGGCGTAGTAATTACCCATTAAAAAGATGTTAAAGTTAGCATCGTAGTACTTTTTTGTCATTAAAAACCACGCTTAATTTCTACATTTGTAGAACATCCAACCTCTACTCGTAGACAATTGTTACAAGATAACAAGAACTATAAATACCTTACCTTATCTAAACTTGTTCAGTAATAAGATAGTTCATGGATAAAGACGATTCGATAACATAGGTGAGTGAATAATAAAAAAATGAAAGTTCTGAAAGGTGTCAAATATGCAGCAAAAGCCACGTTTCTAAACAAACTTCTTGCTCTTTTAAGGAAGACGTTATAGATCTAGTTTATGGAAAACAGGATATTGTCAATTTAGAATAGACGATTTTCTTCGATCTTATGAATTTTTATTTTATGAACCTCATTTTTAAGTCACGTTAAATCTTCTTTGTACCTTTAATATCCGATGTCAGTTACTGAAAATAACTAAGACTCGGGTCGCGGGTTCGAATCCCAGACCCACCAAACATGCCCATCATTTCAGCCGTGAGGGCGTTATAATGTTACGGTCAATCCCACTATTCGTTGGTAAAAGAGAAGCCCAAGAGTTGGCGGTGGGTGGTGATGACTAGCTACCTTCTCTCTAGTCTTGCACTGCTAAATTAGGGACGGCTAGCGCAGATATCCCTCGTGTAGCTTTTCGCGAAATTCAAAAACGAAACAAAAGCAAATAACTAAATTTTTATTACAGGTTTACTAATAAATTAAAGTTATATATTACCGCAGGTTATGCACTTTAGCATATATTTGACTTTCTAAAGATTACACGACAGTCATGTTCATTTTTAACACCTAAAAGTATGTTTTTCTTTGTTTAATTTCGCGCAAAGCTACTTGAGAGCTGTCTGTTGTAGCCGTCCCGAATTTTGAGGTGATGGACTAGATAGAAAGCAACTAGTCAATATAACGCACTGTCAACGCTTTAGTTACTATTTAGCAACGAATAACGCCCCCACCGTTCAAAAGACGAGCACGTTCGGCGACGGGCAACACCCAAAGAAAAAGCAATCGTTATATAAAACCCTACCTTGGAGGATATTTAGAAAAACAAATCAGGCAAATAGGTCGAACACAAACAGCGCCGCACATACAGGGCAGTAAATAAATATTATATATTGTTATATAAATTTAAAAATATATAATGAAAAAGTCTAGAATTTTCAAACTCTACAACGAAAATAAAACGTAATATAAATTACTTCAAATGAAATCATGCTTATTTTGATGCTCACCACATGTAAAACCTATCTTAAGCTGCTAACAAATGCGTGCTAGATGGTTTGTATTATTGCTTAACATTACACACCTAGACGCAGAGTTTAACATAGCAGGAACTATATTGATCACGGAGGAGTCAATGTGTATTACTTCGCTTTGAAATTTCAAGAATAAAGTACACTTTTATGATAACTAATTATATACCTGGACTTGTTCCTTTTTTATTATTGTTATTCATACAAGCATGCGACTGTTCTGGAAGCTGGGATGCCAACGTCAACAGATAAATTATTACTTATCGTCCCTACTAGTCCACTTATACTCATTTGTCTCATTTTCATTTTATTTTGTAATCATCCTCTTTTGCTCTTTTGTTTCATTAGAAGCAGTAACATTCCCTTCCACAAATGACAGAAGATGGTGGTTAGTAATTCTAGATTTGGAACATTGTGATGTTCAACACCAGTACCTTCTACAAATTCACTTACTAGATTACATTTCACATTTGCCCTTGTTTTATTTGTTTTCCTCTTATGACTCCTAGTGGCTCACCGGTAAGTCTGCAGAATTAAAACGCTAAAAATCGGGTTCAGGTACCAGTGGTGGGCAAAGTACAGATAGCTAGCTCTTTATGTAACTTTTTGCTCAATAACTACCTGGTATGTGCAATACTTTTTATTGCTGTTCTAGATTCCTGAAATGATAATTTTCAATCAGTCAACTATATTGATTAACAGATAATTACACCACATTGAAGATAAGCAAATTAGAATACGTTGCTAACTGCATGGGGTTCAGATACATATCCGCGTGTAAGATAGGTTTACCATTATAATGCGCATTCTTCCCAATTATGTATACTGCATAATATGTTCACTTTTAGCATTTTGGAATACTATTTCTTTATAAAAAGCATTTTGTGGATTGCTCCTACTCTATTATATGAAAGTTAATTGCTGATACTTTACACTGTGATTGGCTGTCATTCGACTAATAAGACAGTGTCACACCAGCATGATTCTTATAAAAGCACATTCAACTACAGGGACACTCAGTAGAGCGCTTACCTCTGCCACATAGCGTTGGTCATATTTGGCCCTCAAAACATACGAAAATATGTCCGTCGTTGTTAACAGAATACGGACGATTTTTGAGAGGACAATTAGGAATAATTTTCCATATGTCCACCAAAGTTCATCAAAATCCGATCATTTGTTACTGAGTTATAGATCAAAAATTATGTGAAAAATCGGTCTCCATGTTAGCAGTAAGGATTTTTTGTAATTTGGTAACTTTGCTGCGACCTTGACCCTCCAGAAACTAACCACTTCTGAGTTGGGTCATAGTCCAAATGTTTTCGAGAAATCCTGCTGACAAACACACACACACACACACACACACACACATGGGTGAAAATAAAAATCTGTCCCTTAGGTATCGAAAGTAATTATACTTCCAGAAACAGTTTGTTGAATGAACTCATGCTCTCCAACAAAAATACCAGATGGTAAACATGTAGTTATTAAAATTGAACCTATTGAAGGTTACTACATGCGACAGATTGAGGACAAATTCTTTTTCAGTAGGAGATGTATGAACGCTCTGACAAGAGTATGCGAATCCACTATAGTGTATAATGAAAGCGATTGAAAGACAAAGCAACAACTATTAAAAAGTGATTTTAAATAATTCAATGTATGCTCTTTAGGTGATACCTGATAATTCTGTAGAGATCTTGTCAGTGACCCCCAGTTACTTGTTGGGCAGGGATTCCTCTTCCAGCATATAGCGAGTGATCCTAAGCACGAACCATGTGAGGATAAAGAGGCTAATAAAACACTCACAACCATGGTTTGCCTTGTACGAGGTTCTGTTATGAGTACTATTAAGGTTGCATGGGCTTATATGAAAATTGAGAAGATCAAGTGGCAACCAAATAATTTGACTAGAATTGTGAAGAGTAACATAATAATTAGAGTCATTTTCATAAATAAGTAATCATTTATCTTTCTTAGATAAAAAATAAAAAGTTTGTAGCGACAGATTAACTTAAGCCTAAATTTAATATCATTTGGTTTAACGACACCTTTTCGTAATTAGATATTGTAAGAGAAATCCTTTAATATCGTCTTATTTATTTATTACTTCAATTACCTAGATATCAAATTATAACTATTGCAATTTTTTCTAGATTTTTCGTCTCATAACTAAGTAATCTTCTTTAGTTGGATTTATATAATCAAAATCATCCCTAATTTAAGAATGACCATTGAATATTCGTCAGAATTTGGCTTATTTTGTTTTCGATCTGGGATGTGTATTGAATAAATTCAGTGCAATATAATCCAATTCACTCGTATCAACCTTGCACTTAGAATTAATTGTAATTTCGTGCGAATTCGTTTTTAACATTATGAGTTTCACCAAGACTGAAGAAGATCCGAACAACAAAAGTGAACCTCGGAAATTAACTGATTAAATCTTGTTTGTAGAATAATCTAATTTCGTTAATAGCAATCTCACACTAATTCACAATGAGCCTCACATACCAATGTAATTTTGTTCTGGTGCATTATCCATTAATGTGAAAATTACTTTTCCTTCGAATAAGTATTGATACGGTGATGTTATTGTCTCTGCTTGAAAATTAATCGATCAGCAAGAGAGTTGTCGTAATTTCTATTATAGACAGTCATTTGAATTCTTGGATCAATCAAAGAAAGGCTTTTACTCAAATGACAAGACTCTCTTTTGATTCGAAGAAAAACTAATATTAAAAAGGTTTAAGATCTGAGATTAGGCTTGAGTTGAATGAAATATTCAATAGACAGAAATATAATCTCTTTCGGCTTCGCTTTGTAAATTTTAATTACACAAAACAAGACCAGTCGATTGATCGTGAAGTGTTTGTTTTCTGTAGAAGGACGTGATAAATAAAGACGTATATGTTAGTTTGAAAAACATTTATCGTCACTCTGTTATGTTGCTTGAATTAATTTTAATAATCATTGTTTTTTTAATCGTATCTTGGTCACTCGTCAATAATATTTGTAAAGAAGGCGAGAAGGATCTAATTATGCATGAATGAAGCCGCAAAACATATTCCAAAGTGTTTTAATATGCAAATTTAGATAATTTTGCGGACATTTTATTGCCCTATTTACTTCTTATAAATTGAAGTTTGAATATTTAAAATATGTCTGTTTTGGTTTCAGTAATTTGAAACCAAGTAGCGAAGTGATTAATAAATTTATATTCATTGAAACTGTACATATAGATATATATATTATAATTGCACGATATATAACCTTTAAAATACTTTATAATATCATAGTTACAACAAAACAAATCAAATTTTATAATGTCAATCATCTCTACCTCTTCAGTTCATTTTATACAAAGCAGACTAATAGGCGGTTATGTAATCTGAAATTAAAATACTCTAAATTGCTCATAAACTGTGAGTGGACTTCAAAGAAGACGTTTGGAATTAGAAAATTGAAGCCAGCCAGCCACAGTAAAACTTGGCTTCCAGTGATCCAAAGTATGGTTAACAGAATATGAATCCTATTCCAACTCAATGTCACAGTTCCTCAAATAGGTGTACATCCACCATTCATAAAACATGAAGAGGGCCACTTTGTCAATTATTGTTCAGCACATTCATAGGACACATGATCCAAGTCTAAGTTAAATGTTCACAGTCGAAACAAGACACTGTGTCAGAGTATAGATTATTAGAAATAGACTTCACAAGGTTATCCAGTATCACAGAAACCTAATGAGATGCACTTTGCTTACATCAAGGAAAATCCAGCTCACCTTCAATTGTGTCAAGAACAAGTTCAGTGGATGTGTTGAATAGTGTTATTTTTATACATGAGATGCACTTCCACTGGCCACTAGGTTGTGAATAGGAACATCATATATATGTTAGCGATGGAAGCTTAGGTGTAACAGAAATAAGTAGTTGCGAGCATACCAACTCTTACATCCTATGGATTGGTACCACTAATGCCACACTTTATAAAGCTCATATCTTACAACTATTTGTGCGCTATATGTTAGCGCGATTTGTCTTGTCCTCAGTGTAATGTAACACCTGACCACATGGTGCTAAACTAGTCGAAATATTCTTTGAAGAAGAGGGTGTTGATAATAAAGTGCATCCTTACTGAACTTTATTTTCATCTAGTATATAGTAGATGCTGGGAGACATACGTTGTCAAGTAATATCAGAAATTAATTATACCCTGAAAACAAGCTTTTCAAAAAGAATTATTGAGTATATCTCAAGGAATAACAACAGTTTGGTTTTAAGTATGAAATAGCAGTGCTCAGCTCTCCTTGTTCATTGTGATGAGCAAACGCTGTTAAAATGAAATATCTTATGCTTTGAAAATGTTGTGATATCTCGCAGAGCAGAGAAGCTAATCTCATTAATAACTAGAAATTCTCTGACTTCGGGCTTTGATGTATATTTCCTCTCGAGCAGCAACACCCAGGTAGCAGAGAAAGATACAAGATACGACTTTGCACAAATCGCAGATATTTTGTAACAGTCTTACAATTTACAAACACTAAACAGTGCACTATACAATAAAGTTCGAGAGCGTGTGTATGAGTGTATATAACTGATAAGGCGAAATGAAAATTTTATTGAATGAGCTGTTATCAGTTCAGGGTATTCTTCGCTTGTAATATAAACTAGACTTTGGATTAATAGTAAAAGAAAAAACTCAAGTTACATTAACTGCAAAGTGAACAATAAATCTACTGAAATTGTGTTAACTTCAAAATAAGTTTAAACCAAAGGTTCAAATGTTATCTCAACACCAAAACCAATTTACAAACTTTATACATTCTTAAACCTCCTTCAAAATACACCGTTCGCTTCGTAAAGTGAAAGTTAAAATTAAAATAAAACAACTGAAACCAAGTTCGGCAAACCTCTAATTCAACTAAATAAAGAACCCTTAGGAACTGTAAGAGCTCCTATTCAAAAATGAAAGTTAAAGTTAAAATGTGATAAGGAAAAACATTAGAAACCAATAAGGTTCTGCTGAATGGATACTTACGGAACACAAAGAAACAAATAACTGCACAAACGGATATTGGACAAATTCTGATTTATCAATAACAACCATTGTCTTACATATGCTAATAAAGTCGCAAGTCGCTAGCACATGAAAGAAAAAAAGTTATTATTAATTCATGTTAGATTAGCTAGCCAAAGCGATGTAGACCAAGGGTGAGTCCATTCGTAATTATTCTGATTCGCAGACAAGAATAACTCAACTCATTAAATAAATGCAACGTTTTTCTTCCTGTAAAAGTAGAACCCTACTAGCTACATAGAGAAAGTTCAAGTTAGTAAATCAGTTGAGCGCTTCTCTGAGTCCAAATGAGTAATTACGAAAATAATATAATTTGAAAATTTTACTTTTTAACAAAAATGTTGGAAAACACATAATACATTGTTTATTTGTAATTAAGCACAAAGCTACATAATGGGCTATCTGTGCTTTGCCTACCACGGGTATCGATACCCGGATTCTAGCGTTGTAAGTCCGCAGACATACCGCTGTGCCACTGGGGGGGGCACACATAATACATGCCCATAGTACAGTGTAATGTTGCCTCCACCAAATTCTGACTTATAAGAAAAGGTTGAATGACCAGACATTTACATTTCAGACTACGTGATGGGTCATAAAATTTCTGATTTGATTTACATAAAATAAACTGAGGAAGGCGATTGGTGTTATTTTTGTAAGAGTGTTTTTTTTTTGCTTTGTCATAAATGAAATATTATACTTTATATTTATCCTTTAATTGCTCTGTGCAGTGTATTTAAATATGTACAAGGAGTGATACTATGAAATTTCCATTTGCTTTGTGAATTGCAGTATAGCATAAAATTCATTCCAAAGAAGATACAAATTAGAAACCTTATTGATAAAAAGAGCGGGAATTACGCATCATATTAAACGGCGTAAAGTTGATGACATTTACGCTCATCACAACTTTTAATTCTCGAGTCCAAACTGTTTACTCTTGTATCTACACACATACAAACACACATATTTATACATTTTTTTGCAAAGCCAAGTTTCACACATAAAAAAAATATTTACTTTCAGCATTGTATCGTTTTTGTACTGAACACTCCAGTTCTTTTTAATCGCATTGCTTACATTTCTACATAAATTGTAGCCCAGAATGCACTAGAATTATTCTACATATTTGTTTTTGCACATGAAAACGTTTTAATGAAGCTTCTTAGGTACTTTTTGTTTCTTTCTGTGGTGCGAATATAGCTTTTGCATTTCTTATATATGTTTTCTTTGGAATGTTGTAATACATACCATATATAGGCAGATGGGTTTCTCAACAAATACGATAAACATATTTTTTTTGTGTCTAAACCTCTTTGCCGAATTCAAGTTAAATTTATATTCAATATTTAATTTTGTATCGTTCTTGATTTTTTCTATATTACTTATGATGGAAAAACATAGATCTAAGATAATTTTATTCCATACTCTGCAGGGAAACCTCGGCCTTCCGTGATTTGGTGGAAAGAAGATATTTTACTCGACGATAGTTACACCTTTAAACCTCACGACGTCGTTGATAATGAATTAACTATCATGAACATAAAACGGAAGGATCTCCTTTCTGAGTTGACGTGCAAAGCCTCAAACAGTAACGTTACTGTTCCCGGCTCAGTTTCTGTTACTCTCGATTTAAACTGTAAGTAACAAAACAGGATGAGTTGTCTTCTTCTAAGAATAGTCACCTCCGCCATCGAAGGTGGACAGAGGTTAAGTTTTCACCCCTGTGTGTGTGTGTTTGTATTTGTCAGCAAGATTTCTAGAAAACGGCTGAATGGATTTGGACGAAAAGTGGTATACATTTGGAATATAAACCAACTTAGAAGTGTTTAGTGTTTTAGGGTCAAGGTCAAATGTTAAGGTCACGAAAATTAAAACAAAACTATCTGTTAACGTGGGGACCGATTTTTCACACTATGTTTGCTCTAAAACTCAATCAAAAATTATCAGATTTTAATGAAATTTGGTGGACGTATGTATGATATTATTCCTCAATGTCCCGTCAAAAATCAAAAATGGTCTAGTTGTTCGATAAAGACGGACATACCGATACATTTTCGTATTTTTTGACAGACGATATGATCAATGTTGCGTCGCGGAGGTATACGCTCTAATAAGTGCCCCTCTAGTTTCATTCTTTAACCATTCAGTTTCCAAAAATACTGTTTATTGAGAATCTATTGTGTTCTAAAAATTAAAAATAAAGAAACGCAATAGAAATAACAGAGAACAATGTTTCTCTCTTTCTCTTGGGTGAGCTATAAAAGTAATGGTTAGGTTCCACTGCATCATTTTGAGTAGACAAAAAAATGGCAGCTGAAATTGTTCAATAGCTGCCTTTCCGCTAGTCTATCAGTTCGAAATTCGACTAAACGCAAGTATCCATTTCAGGAGCCTTACGCAAAAAATTGAAACAAATAAGCGCGCGAATTCTCTTTCTTTCTATTTATTTTTTTGTCAAAGTGAGACCTAACCCTTCATTATTTATGAGTCTGGCGTGAGCTGGTAGTTAATGCGCTTGACGCGCAAAATGTGGGTCACGAGTTCAAATCTCGTCACAGAACATTCTCGCCCTTTTCAGCCGCAGAGGTGTTATAATGTGATAGTCAATCCCCCACTTTTTGTTGATAAAGAGTATCCAAAATTATCTAAACTTACTTTTCAATAGAATAGTAGCCCTCGAGTAGCTTTGCTCGAAATTCGACAAACAATCAAATATGATTTACATTAGTGGGAAAATTATTTTGTATTTCTTAATTTGAAATAGTATGGTAATTTCATGTTTTAAAAATTGTAAACCGTAATCGAATGTTTAATTACTTCTCTTGGAGAATCATTCTTGTGTCAATAAAGCATGTAGGCTCAAAATATCAATTAAGAACAACTATAAAAAATCTTATAACCCGAGTATTTTCGAAAGGTATTTCTTTCTTCAGCAGTGGTTCAAACTGTTTTTCTGATTTCTATATGCTCTAAAATTGCCTTTTAATACTATACAAATGTTACACGTACTGACTTTCCAAATACCTTAATTAAACGTTTAACTAAGTATTGACTTTTATATTACCTTACACGTTTCAAACGTATCGACTTTCCAAATATCTTACAGGGGTAAAAATTACTGACTTTTTTAATGCTTTAAACGCATAAAATGTTTGACTCTTCTAATGCCTTATACACGTGAAAAGTATTGACTTTACTGATACTTTCCAAAAGTCTGAAGTATAGACTTTCCTAATTCTTCACAAGTGTCAAAAATATTGATTATTCCTCATATTTTTACTTGTGTTAGAATGATAGGTTTCCTAATTTTCTACACTTATCAGAAGAGGTGACGTTCCCAATATCTTAAATTGGTCAAAGTTTTAACTTTCAATCAAAGATTTTCTATAAGCAATCTGAACGAAAAGATCGACTTTCTACGAAAGCTAAAGAAGTGAACCTGAATACCATCACGAGGTTGTTATAAGACTGTTACTAATCTAGAATATTGCGTGTTTCATGTTATCGGTCTAAAATATCCTGTGTTTTATGGTCTCATGTCATATCCTTTATACAGTTAATGATATACTTTACTCTTCAAACAAGCTTCTACTTTTGTGCATTAATCTACAAATGTGATATTAGCTTAAATGTGTTATATTTTTATTCAATATTGACTTTTCCAAGTCTAAGTTAGAAATAATTAAAAATGACATAATTAATATAGCAAATCAAAGAACCATCCCACGTGACCTTGGTTCAAAAGCTAAAGTCACAAAGACTTAATGTTTAGCGTGCTCAAAGTGTGAATCTGCCACAAAAACACGGTTCGCATTTTGGAGCTGTGACTGCACTTTAAGAGTGACAAACATATCAAACTATTCAGTCATATAAGAGTAGCCGAAGAGATGGCAGCGGATGTTGTTGGTTGGCTGCTTTCCCTCTAGTCTATTATCTCAAGATTGGGTACTGTCTATATTTGCACGAAAATTCTAAATAAGCAAACATTCTATGATAATATTCTACATATTCCCTACTTAAGATGTAGGCCATTTTGAAAATGGTTCATGGATTCAGTCATTGATTTTTGCTATGTTCTTCAATTGTAAAATAATTTTCTTAAATACAATCGCCAGCTTCTGTTGTTTTTTTGTTTTGTTTGTTGTTAAGCGCAATTTACACAATGGGCTACGTGTGCTGTGGCCACCGCTAGTATCGAAACCCAAATTTAGCATTATAATTCATCAGACATACTTCTAAGCCATCTGGGGACAGTAGTTTCTGTCAAGCATTTAGTCTTTCTATGAAGCTACATATCGATGTATTTTAGAAATTCCTTTCATCATCATTAAATACGTATATGTATTGTGCAAATAAATACTCATTTTGTGTAATTTCAATGATGGAAAGACAGCTTGTACATAAAATTGAATATTCAGAAAACTTAGAAAATATTTATTAAATTTAAATAATAATTCTAGATTTATAATTATTTGCACTTATGTATCTGTGGCTAAGACGGTTTTTATCTATTACTAGTTTTAAATAATAGCTTAAGATACAAGCTGTATTTTAGAATTATTACTCGTTTGCATTGTTTTTGGTCAGAAGACACTACAGTAACATAAAAGTCGTTGAAAAGTTATGGTCTTATAGATTTTTTCAAATTAATAAACATTGATATTATATTGTAGTAATTTCGGTTAAATAACAAAAGAATATCTAGATCTAGTAAGACGGTTAAAGTTTTAACAGTGTAAATTAGACTTAGTAAGTGTAACGGTACTTTAGGCCCAGCTTTAATTAAACTTAATGGTAAATTATGAAGTAGGTTAATACATTGATTTATTAGATAAATACAATCTAAAGGCTAGTGTATTGTCTCCTCGTGTTTTCAGGATGAATTTTTTACTTGAACTCAGATCCATTAGTTTAAATCCAGCGTATATTTATAGGAAGGTTATAATAATACATTGTATTATTAACATTACGTATACATCAAATTAAAGACTAGTCATTGTCACTTCAAATAAAGTTCTATTTCTAAGTTCTATATAAGTAAAGATAAACTTAATTACCTTAGTGTGAAGACAAAGTAGTGATATAAAACTAATATAATTGGTTCACAAACATGAGGCTTAAAAGTAACAGTGTTGACAATAGGCTACTGGTATTTCGTATTGAGTATTTATTTCTAAGCTATAAATATAAATATAATGGTTAAGACTAGTGTAGGAATTAAGCGTTCACAATTTGTTAGGTGTAATTGGGTGCAATGATTGGGTTTTATTTGGGAACCCGGGACAGGCGTGTACTTTTAAGGAAATTAATAATGAACATGTGCAATTTGTATGTAGAGTTTGTAGGTTGGAAGAGAAGTTGGAGTCTAATTAAAGTAAAGTCGATAGATAAATAAAAGTGTAGGCTGTGTGAAATGGCAGTAGCATTTGAAGGGGAGATTAAACTTTTACATGCAAGGAATACATCAGCTAACAATGACTTTCATGAAGCTAGAAAGAATACTATTAGGGTTAAAAGTAGTGGATATAATTGTAATGAGCCTATTCTACTGAGCAACAGATTTCAGCCCTTGGCTTCAGCAGACGAGGAACTATTGGAGGGAAGGAAAACAAAAGGGACAGAGAAGGATATGGATGATAAACTTAAGGAGGTTATAGTTATAGGTGATTCCTTGATAAGGCATGTGGATAGGATAGTCTGTGGGGTAAATAGGAAGAAAATAATTAGATTATGCTACCCAGGGTCAAAGGTGGAGGATATAACTAACAGAGCTAGAGATGTAATAAATGGAGATAACAGAGATGCAGGTTTTATTGCGCACGTAGGGACTAATGACGTAGGAAAAGATATGTTAGAGGAGCTAATTAATAAGTACAAGGGGGTTGATAAAGGCATTTAAAGGAAAAGGGCCATAACATAATTTTGTGAGGGATACTGTCCATAATTAAATATGGGGATGAAGTTATAAGTTGATCAATAGGGCTAAATGCTAAGTTTAGTATGTTCGTTTGTTTTGAATTTCGCGCAAAGCTACACGAGGGCTATCTGCGCTGGCCGTCTCTAATTTAGCAATGTAAGACTAGAGGGACGGCAGCTAGTCATCACCACCCACCGCCAACTCTTAGACTATTCTTTTACCAACGAATAGTGGGACTGACCGTCACATTATACCGCCCCCACGGTTGAAAGGGCGAGCATGTTTGATAGGACGAGGATTCGAGCCCGTGACCCACAGATCGAGCGCTATAGCCACTTGGCAATGCCGTGCCAGTTTAGTATGTAAGGATGAGCAGATTGGCTGTTTGAACTTGTGGGATCAGTTCAATGAAAGAAGGGATCTTTTTGGAATGGATAGTATGCTTACAAATAAGATAGAGAATGACTTGTTTGCTTAGGCTATTAACTCAGCTGTAAGGGAAGTTTGTTTTAAACGAGGAGTAGACAGTGGGGAGGTCCAGGATAAACTAAATTTAAAAAATAAGAGGCAGAGAAAAGTTTGGCATAGGAAATAAGTATAGAAGTAGTTACAAGGGTAGGCTTAATTGTAACTATTGTAATGCTAGAATTATGAGAAATAAAATAAATGACCTTAGAGCACTGGTAGGAATGGAGGATTTTGATATAATGAGAATAACTGAAGCTTGGTTAAGCACAGATGATTTTGATGACAGAAATTTATTTTAAATACAAGGTTACAGGCTACTTAATAGGGTCAGGGTACTAAACAGAAGGGGAGGGGTGGCTTTATATGTAAACTGTGAGTTACATCCTATTGACGTTGAAGATATCACAGATAATAGCAAGGAGATTTAATCCATTTGGGGTTTTGTTAGTGGATATAAACTAAAAAGTCGTTTAGTGGAAACTTGTTACAAACCATCAGATAATACTGATGAAATTAGTGAGAAACTGTACAATGAGATTAGGATTTCGGCTGTTAATGAATTCATAATTATGGGTGATTTTAATTTCAGGCATATAGCTTGGGAAATGCTAGAGTCAAACCATAAGGGAGAAAAGTTCTTGGAAACTGTTCAGGGTGGCTTTTTTCACCAGTTTGTTAAGGAACCAACTATAGGAAATGCTATTTTAGACTTATTGTTAACTTCAAATACAGAAATGATTGAGAGAGTGGAAATTGGAGAACATCTGGGTGCAAGTGATCATTGCTCTATTAGGTTAAATGTTTTGTTCCATTTGGAGATAAAGAAAAATGATACTTTCGTTACAAATTTTTAAATAGCAAATTTTGAAGGGATTTGGCAAGAATTATCTGTTATGAACTCGGCAGCTGAATTATTTGTAGACACTGATCAGATGTGGAAAATGTTTAAATGTTCAAGATAAATATATTCCTTGTAGAAATAAAAGGGTAGCTGCAAGTAAAAACCCAGGTTGACTCACAAAAAGTATAAGAGATAAAATTAAAGAAAAACATCACAAATTTAAGAAATTTAAATTGACTGGTATGACAGGAGATTTAGAAGATAATAGAAGATCGAGAAAGGTGGTGAAACAGGAAAATAGAACATCATAAAGGTTGGCTGAAAATGTAAAAAAAAATAACAGTATTTCTTTAAGTACATTAAGGGTAACAAAATGTTGGGATGGGGTAGGGCCTTTGAGGAATGATAAAGGAAGGCTGGTATCTCATGATAATGAGATTGCTAAGTTATTTAATTTTGCTTTTTCTTTAGTTTTAATAACGAAGATTTAAGCAGTATTCCACATCTTGAACAGTGGGTAGGTGGAATCAAGATCGAATAAGTTGACTGAATTAATTCTGAGCTTGTTAATAAAAAATTTGGAAGCTTAAAGAATGATAAGGTTCCTGGGCCAGATAATATTTCCCCAAGGGTTTTGAAGGAGGTTAAAGATTGACTATGTGAGCCACTTGCTACTATTTTTGTAAGTCCTTGAATAGTGGGCAGGTACCAGAAGATTAGGAATTAGCTAATGATAAAAATACTCCCCGTAATTATAGGCTCAATAGTCTTACATCAGTTATTGGAAAAGTTTAGGAAAGTCTGATAAAAGATGCTTTGCAAAGCCATTTAACAAAGTTTAGAATTTTATTGGACCATCAAGATGGTTTCACTAAGGGAAAATATTGCCTTACAAATTTTTTAACATTCTTTGAAAAGATTACTGCTTATGTAGATGAGGATAAGGGTGTAAATTTAGTGTATCTGGATTTTCAGAAAGCATTTGACAAGGTACCATATAAAAGGCTTGTACAAATTACCTCTTTTGGTGTGTGGGATAAGTTATCTAATTGGATAGAAGAGTGGCTAGATAGAAGAAAGCAGAGGGTTGTTACAAATTAAGTTCAGCCAAACTGAATTATTGTTACAAGTGGGTTACGCCAAGCTCAATCTTAGGACCTTTGCTCTTTCTAATTTACATCATTGACATAGATGAAGGAATGGTCAACAAATTATTTAAGTCTGCAGATGATATTAAGGTCTTGGGTGTTGCTAGCTGTGAAGAGGATGCTGATTATTTACAGAAGGATTTAGATCATTTAGTCAGTTGGGCAAATAAATGGCAAGTGAATTTTAATTATAATAAATGCAAGATAATGCATGTGGGTTATAATTTGAATTATAAGAACAATTTGGATGGGAACAACTTTAACATTGTCATGAAGGAAAGAGATCTTGTTGTAATATTTAATTAGTCTCTTAAGCCATCCAAGCAGTGTGCTGTTTCTAGTAGTAGGGCAAATAGGAATTTAGAGTGTTTCTACAGAAATAATGAATACAAGTTTAAAGAGGATATAATTTCTTTGTATATGTCACTGATTATGCCACTTTTGGAGTACTCTGTCCAGCCTTGGGCTCCTTACCATAGGAAGAACATTGAACTGTTGGAAAGGGTTCAGAAGAGGGTTACTAGAATGGTACCTGAGATGGAGAGGTTACCATACAAGGAGAGATTGAAATCTTTCAAGTTATTTTCTCTTCAAAAAATAAGAGTTAGAGGGGATCTGATTGGAGTGTTTATTATTGTAAAGGGAATTGATAGTGTTGATTTATCATCTTTTTTCATACGTAACAGTGAAAATAGTAGGACTAGGGGACATAAATATTTATTTTGTCACGGTAGGAGTCATCTTCAGCTAAGACAGTCTTATTTTTCTAACAGGGTGGTCGGCCTTTGGAATGGATTGCCTTCGAATATTGTGGAGGCAGTAAATTTACATGAGTTTAAGGGAAAGCTTGATAAGTGAATGAACGATAAGAGCTGGCTTTATGATTTTTTTTTATTAATAGTTTTAATTTAGTTTAGAGGATGTGGCAGCCTGGATGGACCAATATGTTCCATGTTGTCCTAAAACATTATGTTATGTTTATATCGAATTCACTTCTCCATACTTTCTTCGTTATTAATTCGATTAAATTAATTTCTTCTATCCTCACTTTTATTTTTAGTGAAGCCTAAAAGGGTAAAGATTCAGTCCGCAATACGCCCTTTTTCTGCCGAAGAAGAAGTAGAGCTTCGTTGTTCTTCAAGTGGATCCCGGCCTTCAGCCTACATCACTTGGTGGAAAGGAAACGAGCAGCTTCAGCAAACAAAGCTCAACGTCGATAACACCGGGCTAGAAACTAGTATCCTTACATTCACACCGTCCATTACTGACGATGGAAAATACCTTTCCTGCAGAGCCGACAATCCACTCATTCCCAACAGTGCTGTAGAGGACGGTTGGAAGCTGGAAGTCTATTGTAAGTTGTTATTAGAAAATAATATTTTTTCCACATACATTTTTCTGATAATGAGCAATATAATCCTAAATTATTTCCCATGAAAATATCATCATTACTGACATCTTTTAATCTAGCAAAATGTGGAACTGACTATACTTTAGCCAAGTAAATGGATAACTTTGTTTAATTCAATACTGTCTGTTTATCATTAGCAAAATCAATAATGAAAGCCTAGGAGCTGACACATAAATCTGAACTTGCGAGTTACAATCAAGAAACGTTTAACGATTTTCCAATCTCAGTTGTTGTGCAAAATGTAATATGATTTGATGATCAGATTCTTTAACATATTCCTCAAATTAACGGCAAATATAGAACTGTGTTATTTACTGCCATTTATTTACTTATCATCTAAGTTGCAGCGTGAAGTCTCATATTTATAATATAAGTATATTGTATATTTTAATTTTGGCGAAATTTTATGTACAAAGTGATGATGAGTGTTTACCACATTGGTATAATGTATTGAACATTTTTACTCAATAAGAACAAACAAATAAGTGGTCAATATTTAGATTTCTGATCAATATAAGATAATATAATGTATATATATTTACTGATAAGAGACAATTTATCTTTCATGCGAAAGCTCTTTCGCTAGACAATTTTGTACTGAGAAGCATATAAGCAATATGTTACCAGTCAAAACCAGAGTGAGCTTTTAATTACTCTTACCAAATGTTGCACTTTGATGACGTACAAAGGTTGAGTGGGTTATCTTAAAACGATTTTGGAGCCTTAGCACATTTTTAATCCATGCCTTCACGTCCAGTAATACTTTCCATTGCAAAAGGCTTCTTTGTAAGAATATCATATTCACATCTCATCAGTCCTCCCTGTTTTGTTCAATAAGCCATCTAGTATATAAGGGCGATAGTTCCCACCGCCCGCTTAAACAATTTGATCGCACAGAAATCCATAGGTGACTTGACCAGTATGTCTTCGTATGGGAAAGTAATATATTTTTTATTCTCCAGTTATTTGAGCAGATATATTGTGTAAGCAGTTTGTGTCGCTCTTACAAAGAAATCCTTCTTGATTATGTTGCGTACTGTTGCCTGGGGCACGTGGACTGCTTTTTCCACTGACCTTTGGGTTCGTGGATACTCACCTGTTACAAGACGCCGCACTTTGCCTAACGTGACTTATTGCATGTCTTTTTCTAAATTTTCCTGGTGCCCCAAATTGATTGATATAATTTTGTTTTCAAATGTCATTAAGTACAAGGGATATCCTTGATCTTAGCTCAATTTTCTGATTGAGTATACAAATATTTTACGACAGACACAGCTGTTTTATACCTATCCTACAATCGAACAATCACATTACCTAGAAAACGCCAGACAAAGTCAAACTCTAGTTTCCACCGTGACTTTATATCAGCTGCTTGTTACATGACTTGCTGATGTACATATTCAAAATTGTTTTACCATAACGTGCTGAACCCTCTGAATAACCATACTGCATTTATTATAGTTATTAGTTTATTAGCTATTTATTTATTGCTCTCGTTAAGTTAGTACCTTACAGCCATTCCAGTAAAGTGTAATAAAAAGTTTATATAATGTTATTAGTAATCAAGCGAATAGTAGTTTAACAGTGTTTTTTCTAAGCTATATAATTTTAAGGCTTACAATGAAATAATAGCATAGTCTTTATTATATACCCGACTGGTTATGATACAAAAATCAGTTCACTTAGATATTGCAATAGGACATAATATAAACAGCTCATAGTAGTAGAAAACAATAAGAGGATGGAATTACTTGTAGGTAATATTCTATATATCATAAACAACAACAAAAAGGTTATGTTATAGTCATCCGTTAGTAACAATATATTCTAAGGTTTTGCTTTATCACAAGAGGTATGATAGAGGCAATACTTTACAAAGTGTTTTTTCAAGGGGTTGTGTCTAATATGTTTTGAAATAGGGCAGTTTATTGAGGTTGAAACTGACGTATACAAATCACAACATGGTTATAAATGTTTTCTTGTTTTTAAGCATCAGGATAGGAGAATGTGTCAGAAAAATAAAATCTTATTTACTAAAGCTTAAACTTATATACATATCTGTGTATAGAAATATGAATATATTCCTTTAAATTTATTTGAGATTCTGAAATGTTTTTCAACTATGTTTAGTTTTATTCTTCGTTATATTACACCCAAAACGCCATTCATGTGCGTGTGACTGTAAGAAAATCGAATAGATGTTAACGAATTACTACATAAATATGTAAAAGGTAAACAATAAATGCAAAATGTTTGTAGCATTCTATAAATTGCCTTAGAGAAAATGTTTAGTGAGAAACAGTTTTATTTCTAGTTAAAATTAAATTAAATATCGAATACTGATATATTTAATTAAAAATCCAATTACACAGAGAAAGTTCTGCATGATCGTTACTCGGAACATGTTTTTTCTGAACAGTTTACTTTCAATAAGTACAAAAGTTAATACACATTTATTATAATTTGGTGATATTGATTGAACTAACAGTAAATTTCTAAATTCGAATATTTCATTAAATGTTAATAAGTATGGTTATCCAAATGATTTGAACATCATTTTATGAATACGATATATTATATAAAATAGCATTACTTTAATTTACATCAGTAAAGTAGAAAATACAATTGTGAATGCCTATCCTTCTTTAAGTAAGAAATGTGAAATACATACGTTTGAAATCATAATAGAAAACATGGTTTGATTAGAAGCTAACTTAATGGATAAGATTATAAGATACTTATAATCAGCTTCATATGTAACACGCGGTCTAAACTGCCACGTCAAAGACTTCGAGGTTGAGGAATAGCCTTCCATAATTTAGAGTTGCCAATGAGAGGGAGAGTAGCTAGTCAGGAGCACCCACCGCCTACACGGCTATTCTTAGTGAAATAGTTAGATAGACGATTACTCTTATAGCATGCTAACAGCTAAAAGTATGCAGCGAGTTAATTGGCATATCACGAGCTCGAACCTTAAATCTTTCGATCTTCAGCCCAAGATCCCGGTCATAGCTTTTATTAAAAATGTTCATTTGATACTATAACCATTATTGCCAGTTTTATGTGCAGCTTTTCTAGTATTATAATTTTCAGTTTGAGTAAAATTTTATATCGCTTACTGTTAAATATTCAAAGAAATCTTAAAAACCATAATGTAGAAAACATTATGCTCAATTCTTGTAACTAAAAGGTGTACATTAGTAAGAAAATATGCTAGTTTATTACGAATTCGGTAAAAATCTTAGTAACTGAAGATCTCTACTATATTTTGCTTAATTGCTTAAAGATGAAAAAACAATGTTGCTACTAGGTGAAGGAAGTCCAAAAATATGAACAGAAAATTCCCAGCTTCTATCAAAAGTATTTGTTTCAACTAATCCATTTCTAATTTTTATATCTAAATCCGAGAAATATATTCGTGTATCAGATACCTCAGTATTTTGTATTTGTATTCTGAAGGACATATGGAAGCAATAAAGTTATTGCCACTTTTAAAACTTAACCTAATTAAATTGTCTATGTATTTTGTGAATCAAAGTAAATATATCTAACTTTACGACGTATTTAAAAAACAAACTTTGACAAGAATATAGATATAAGTTCGAAGTATTTGGATGATATACCACACAACAACCTGTTTATAAACATTATGTGTAAAAGCAATAGAATTATTATAAATGTAGAAAAAATAATATATTTTTATTTTGTACTATAAAGTATTTTAAACAGATACAGTAATTAATGATTCTATCAATAAATTTAAAACTAATCAGGTCTGCCAAAATAACTTTTATAGAGTCGGAAAATACTATCTTACATCAGTCTATCTGTAAAAACATATTTCCAGTTAAAGCGCTGCTGTCTTTTATTAGCTACAAATATATAATTCATATTGGAAAGCTAATGTATAATTATAGAACCTCTTTAAATGACATAGACCTTCGTAATATAGATAATTTGCATAGTGAGATCACTAATAATTATTTCGCAGATTCTACTGATAGGCATATCATCCCTAATGTGTGAGGGGATCCTCAAAAAAGCTCATATTACAAAATTTGACAATTTGTTTCAGGATACCATATGCTTTCAGCCAAGATGAGTTGATACAAAATCATAATTATCATAGGTGTTTCGATAAAATCATAACTAAACGTATAGATTTCTAATTTTCAGCACTAAATTTTCCACTGATATTTTCATTTATGACTAGTTATAAGCCTATATTATTGACCAGTCAAAAACTGTGAATAAAGTTATTGAATGAAAATTTGCGAACTCATAAGAACTTTTTAATTATAGGCAAGTTATGGTTTATGATCATTTTATCACTGCTTAACTAACTTGTGTAGTAGGACTCAAAACAGCTTTTATTTTATAATATGAAAAGACTTAAACTAATTTTACTTGACTCCGCAGTTTATCATTTTCATATGTATAGTCAACAAATTTGCTAAACTGTCAGTTTATAGTAGAGGGTCACATTGCTAAGTAAAAACAGCAAGTTACAAATATCAGCAACTCCCCTTCTAAGGCTCTGTACTTTGACCAAAGGGCTTGTCTAATTAGCATTTGGTTTAGTGGTGCAAAATATCCACCTAACTAAAATACTACAAACTGACTGTGACCAATGCACTATTCAGATTAAACTGAGTAGTGTGGTGACACTGGACAGTCTCCTCATTATGTGCTCAAGCTAATTTTTTACACTTGTCGTACATGTTATCGTAAGCTGTTCATCATGATTAAAAGCTGTCCTGTTTACCTAGAACTAATGTTTCTGTAACCATATAAGTACAAATAGCTATAAGAAACGTATGTTATTAGTAACATGTCGAACATATGTCAGACCATGTTTCACTTGAAGTAAAATGACATATACAAATTAATTTCATCCGGTTTATAACGTCAATCTTATGATCTGAACTACTCTGAGTAGTACA